CTACGCCTTAACGGCTTTCGACGATGAGATAATCAAAATGCCCTTTAGTTTACTTTGAAATTACATAATGCATTTCATGAGTTATTTTTAATTTAGTTTAGAATAATTATTTTTCTTGAAATTGTATGTTTAATAAATAAAAATATAAAAAATTAGGAATCATGCTTAACTAGTAATTTTAAAAATAATCATAAAAATGACATGTGTTATAATAAAGGAACAAAATGTTAGACTTCAATCATATTAGATGTTTTAGTGATAATGTGTATCTTAATGATTTCCATATTACTTTTGATTGAAAAAACTTTATGAAATCATGCTTGATGAAATAATATAATGATGCATAATGATCATGCTTAATGAATTTATCTGTCGAAATTATGCATATTGATTTGAAGTAATGATGATTTTTGGGTGATTTATGCTTTATTGATCATTATCGTAATAAATCTTACACTTTCGATTTTAAACATGATACATGTTTTTATTTTACATAAATGAAATAAATCATATGAATTGAAACAACTAAAAAGAGGAAATCTTTCTCCATAAAAAATTTCTTTTTCTCTACTTTATCGATTTTTAAAAAGGAGAGATTAATGAATCTATCTATATTTTCTATGAATCTCTTGAAAATGATTTTGATGTGACGATTTGAATTTGAATGGGTTTTATCTTGATTTTTTGAGATTTATAATATGAAATCTTTTATGAATCAAGATCTCTTATTTGATCTCTTATGTTTCTCTTTACCATTTACTAAAAAGAAAAATAATTCAATTCATGAGAAATCATTTTATACAAGATACTTGAAATCTTTTTATGAATTAAGATCATTTTCTCCTTGTTTCTTTTTGCTATCTACTATCTAAATGAATCGTGATTTTTCTGAATTATAATTTTTATGATTCATAATGAATTGATAGATTTTATATGCATAAATTAGGATCTTTTTCTCCTACAAGATTAAATGAATTTTATCTATATTATGATCTCCTAAGAATTCTTTTCGTTAATTATTTAAGAGGAGATTTGTTAAAATGAATCATGGTTTCTCTTGATTTCCCGTATTTTAGACTTAATCTTTCATTTTTGGTGATTGAAATAATGATTGGAATACTGATGTAATTATGAATAATGATTTGGAATCATGCATATAATGATGATTTTATATTTTAAAAATATATATGATGATTTGGTATTATGCATGCAATACTTCAACTTATAAAAATGATGCATGCAATGATGAAATATTCATGATGAAAAATTGTTTTGACATTCATGACTTGATTTTACTTCTTTATTATTTATCCTTGTCATGCTTTCAAAATTGTTGTAAAGGAAAAAAAAGATACAAAATTGTATTCATCCATTCTTTTTGACAATGACAAAGGGGGAGAAATATTACTAGCTCATCTTGCAAAATTTAGAAACTTGCACTTTGCAAAGAAAGCAAAATTGCTAGCTCAAACATTGGAAAGGAAGCAAAAATTTGCTAGCTTGCAAATTCCATGGAGAAAGAAATGCTATCTTGCCTATCTCAAGAAGCAAAACATGCTAAACTTGCACATCTAGCAAAATTTACAAACTTGCAAAACTCAAAATTCTTGCTAGCTTGTATGATGATAAAAATGGAGATTATGTTTATTATGCAATGATTTGAACTTGTATGTCCAAACACTTGAAAGTTACACTTCTCCTTTTTGTTGATGACAAAGGAGAAGTATGATCATGTTATGCATGATGATGTGTTGCAAATATTCATGATGAAATTTGCAATGACTTGAATTCAGCATGAATTCAAGGTTATATCAATATAACATATTGATAGGGGGAGTTAAGGTTAACTCCGTCATCAATTGGTTGTTATCATCAAAATGGGAAAGATTGTTGAATCTCGTATTTTGATGATAAAACCAATTGATAAGTGTTTATGATTTGAATTTTGAGTGACGTAGGATACTTCGATCAGGGAGAGACATTTAAAGCAGGAAGAATCATATTGGGCCGGAGAAACATGTTAGAAGATTGTAAGTCATGCCAAAGGATCGGTCGACGTATTGACAGAAGGCTTCGGACCATGAGTTCGGGCATAAGGCTAATAAGAGCGGATATTGCGCCAAGGATATTAGAGTTACAGAGGTCAACTGGCCGATTGGGCAATAGGCCGCGAGAGAGGATGATGTGTCGAAGAATCGGACGAAGCATCGATGAACCAATGACATGCCGGACAATATGATTCATGCTTAGTAATAATTGTCTAGATCGAAGTGTGTTTCACATGTGCAGGATTAACTACGATAGCAAGACATAAAGCAAAATGAAGTCCTGGAGTCAAGAACGCGATTTCGTTGAGAGTTCTAGAGTTCGTCGGAAGTCCGGACATTCGTCGAAAGTTCTACCAGAATTGACCGAGAAATCCAAGAACTTGCCAAAGAAGCTTATCAGAACTCGCCAAGAAGATCGTCGTGAAGTCTAGGAGCTTACCGGAAGTCTACTGGAACATTACCGAGAGATCGTCGGAAGTTCGCTGGAAGATCGCTGGAAGCTCGCCGGAAGAAACTAGACTTACAGACTTGTTTAGTTTAGTAAATATCTTAGAATTCATAGTTAGCACATAATTGGGATTGAAATTGGGCCAACCCAATTAGGGGCTATTTGGACACATATATGAATTGTTTGAGCCCAATAAAAAGGCCCAAACAATGACCTAAGAGGTGGTACCATCGTAGCACAATCTCCAAGACTATGTCAGACGGTGGTACCGTCGGTCTGGGCAGTGGTACCTGATTCTCTGAGAGGCTGTAGCGGTGGTATCGCCCAATGGCAGGGTGCCATGTGGTGGCACCGCCCCTGTCAGGCAGTGGTACCACCTAGTGTCAGACTGACACTAGTAGTGGTACCGCCTAGCACATGCATTGGTACGACGTAGCATAAGCGGTGGTACCACCCGTACCTAGGAAACCCGGGATGAGATAATTTTAGGCTCCAAGTTTGAATAAACTTGAAGCCTATAAATACCCCTCTCATCCTTAGTTAAAATACACAAGCACAGAGAATTTATAAAGGGAAAAACGCTATAGAAATCTCTTGTGAGAATCCTCCTCTTCTAGTCTAAGTATTAGAATAGTTTAAGAGAGGAGTGAGTGCTTATAAAAGTTGCCTCCTAAAACTATGAAAAGGAAAAAAGGGGTGTAAGAAGAAGGTTAATCTTTACTTAAGGTAGATCGATAGTGGATGCCGGTGGCCTCGACGAAAGAGGAATTGACAGAGTGAATGTATGTCACGATGACCGAACTACTATAACTCGATTTGCATTTATTTCTTGTAATTTACTTTAAACTGCAAACTGTCTTCTCATTACTTGTTACACTCTTCCGTATGCTTTCAATTTTAAATATCTTTCCTAAATTGGTTTTATCATACGAAATAAAATTTTTAAAAATCGACATAATTTTTACAACTGCACTAATTCAACCCTTCCCCCCTTCTTAGCACCGCTCTTGATCCTAACACATTTATGCTAAATATAACTTTTTCTCATCTTTTTAAACTAATTTAAGCTAGTTTACATAAGATGGTGCTACTTTTTATTTTGATGGAGAGTCAAATGGACTCCATTTGCAAATGAATGTTATTCTTACGGACAATTTACATATGATGAGTCCGAAATCCCAGCAAACTTAGAAACATTAGAAAGTTGTTTAGACCTTGTTAAAGGTGGTAGAGTTTCAACTCCTTAATATTATATTGATTATATCTGATGGATATTTACCTATGTTATAAAAAAAATTAGCCTGATTTCATTTTTTTTAGAGAAAGAAGACATGAATAAATTAAAAAAATATATTAGAGAGAAATTCTAATTTAAACATAAATCCTCTTATATACCTTCTCACATAATTCATGAAAAATTTTATTAATCTTTTCTCTCATCCTCTTTAGATCCACGATAAAGAAATCATGAATACTTAAATTATTTTCTCAAATCTTACTCCTCCCCTAAGAGCTAAAAATACATAATGTACTTATAAGAATAACTAAATCCTTATTTCCAGTGGCTCTTTCCTAGTTCTTTTCATACTATGATTTCCTGTCCTCAAAGAATACTAGTTTCAGAAATCCAAAAATACTTATCAATATCTCATTTGATGAGTTTTTTTTTTTCACTCTATGTCTCACATATAGATAATATACTTTACTGCAATCTTTGTCACTTATCTTTGTTAAATATTTGATCACTAGATCTTTTGAGTTTTGATACCACTTTGTTAGAAGGAAAGAAGATTTATAAACAAAAACAGAAATCTCAAATATTAACAAACAAAGAACTTATTGAAAAGATGATGTGAGATTTATGTGGTTCAACACTCATAGAAAATAAATAAATTATTCATCATTTAAGACTAATTGCATTGTTGAGTTAACCTCAACTTAAGTATAAATCCATTTTTATATCTTCTCATGCAATTCTAAAGAATTTCTTAGAAGCACTTGAAATATTTTCTCACATCTTGCTTTCTATCAAAACCCAAAGATACATAGGATATTTATAAAATAATCAAATCATAATTTTCATGTTTCTATCCTTCATAAGGAGTCATCTTTGTACTAAGATTCCTCATCGATACTAACTCTAAAAATCTAAAAATACTTACAAACCTCAACATATTTAATATTTTGTAATAAAAATGCTTCATTGCCTTGTATGGTTTTATCAGAGTTAAAAGCATTTGGGTGAAACAGTTCAACTCAAGCAGTGGGCATGAGATTGAAGGTAAATATATATCATAAATTTCCAATAAAATATGAGATCTAAAGGTTGAAATGTTTCAGTGGTGAACATAATATTGTGCAGTTATATATTCTTTACAAGGAGCAAAGACTTGATAAATCCAAAGCAGAAAGGAAAGAAGTCATTCTTGCATATAATTTACAACACTTGCATATACTTTTTCAGTAGGAAAGTACTAAATCAAACACTTGCAGTTTGCATGGCGCTAAGAGTTACTTCCGGTGGAGGAGGATGATGGCTGTGACGAAGAAGAGTCTCCACTGCGGTGAGACCGCAGTAGAGACAACAATACACTGAAAGGCCCAGTGGCAGGTAACCGGGATCCTCTCTCGTCACGTCCACCACTGTCATTGCCACTCCCATCATGAACCCCCACCCTGTCGCCATTGCCGCCTGCACTCGAGCTCGTTGATTCCTCTGTAGGCATCTGAAACCTGCAGATCGGGCACGAACTATGGAGCTCGAGCCATGGGAGTATGCACCCGGCGTGGAATTTATGCTTGCAGGGCATCTCCCGGGCCTCTGCGCTGATCTCCAAGTCTTCCAGGCAGACCAAACAACTCAAACTCTCCTCGATCTTCACCGTGGGCATCGCCTCCACCGCTGCTTTCTGTGCTGGCGGAGTTCCATGACGATTTAGATCGGTCTCTTCCGGACGCTGCAACGCAAGATCCAGGGCAAGTCCTAGAAAGTCCCGCAAGGGAACGCCGGTGCCGCCATCAACTGAGCTTTGTCCTTGTGACTGGTTAGTATCCGGAGATCCCAGAACAAGTATGGCATTGTCGATGAAAATGATGGGCTCCCGCTCGTTCTCAGCATCATCTAGGACGTCCACGAGCAACCTACTGATGGCTGACATCCTCCGCCGCCTCCCGAGCATGACGCCTTCTTCTTCTTCTTCGTCATCGTCGCTGTCGAGCATTTCAGTAAAAAATGAAGCCCAAAGAGAGAGGTACGTATTGGATTCTGGGTCTGTGGCTGTGTCTACTCCTTCCCCACTCATCTCTTCCACAAACCCACCATCACATATTGCGCATTTGATTTCCTCTTCCATGATCGGATTCACCGTTCTCGAGCACATGTGGCACCAATATCTAGCAACCCGAGGTTCGACCATCACTCACTACTGCCTTGCTGTACCTGAGTCTGAACGATCACAAGAAAGACATGCAGTAGTAGTAGGCATTAGAATAAAGAGGAAGAACCAAGTCATGTAACTATTATTTTGGGATCATCTCAATTCAGAAGGAATTCAATGGACAAATTAAGCTACATTTCTTGTACAATACCCACGAAGAACGGTGACATCTCTGGTCCAAGAGGAATACATGTGTCATAGATTTCTGGGACAAAGGACAAAACCTAATAAGAGTGCCTCACAACCCGAAACCAAGTGATTACATATCCATCAATACCCCATGCGGTACTCTCTATCTCGCACATTCCTCCCGATAGAGGTTACAGGAAACAAAGTCGATTGAGACAGGTCACATTATTATGTTGAGTCTAAGGCTAGAATTGAATTCTTGGGTCATCGAAGCGAGAATCTAAGATCCGACGTATACTACTACTCGGTCTGGGCGGAAGCACTCGATCTGGGCAGAAGCACTGATCAAACTAGGTCAGACTAGGTCTCGCCAGTGACCTAACTTAAGTTAGACACCAATTGGATCAATTCCCATTGATTCAATTTTAATCATTTTTCTTAGCATAATTTAATAAATAATCTAATTTAATATAACATGAAATTATGATGGAGTCAACAACAATAAGTAAATAAATTTAATGAACATATAATATTCTTTAATCAACATCAAAATATCAATATTTAGTATTCAAGATGCTACAAAATTATTAATTCAACTTAAAGATAGCTTGATTAAAATTATTGCATGAGCATTGTCGAAACATTCAATTGATTAGTGCATTATCTTGCAAGTGAATTGAATAGGTCTTATGTTCCAGTCTATGTATGTCATTTAATGTAATATTTTTTTTAAAAAAAGAAATTACAAGGTGATGGACTTTATTACTTATAATAATAATCAACATGCCAAATTAATTAAATCAACTTAAATAAACATGGATAACAAAATTATATAAATATTGATTATTTATTAATCATGGTTCAATACTTAAACAAACAAAGAAGATAATAAAATCCATGCGTCTAAATTTTAAAAAATAAAAAAAATCAAATGAAAGAAAGCCAGAAGACGTACCTCTCCTCAATGAGACGATCCTTTCTTCGTTCCCTTCCACTACCACACAATCGATGAGGAACATAAGAGAGTTGGTATCTTTAAATAGGAGAGGGAAGGCTCTCTCTCTAAAGATAATAAATAAATTTTTTTATTTTTATATTATTTAATAAATAATTAAAAATCTTTCTTAAACCATTCATCCCGAAAATGGAAGTAGAGTCATAGAATCAACCATTTCCTTAATTTAAATCACAAAAATAAGAAATGAATTAGATTAAATAAAGTAAAATTTTGATTTAAAATAATTTTAAATTTTGGAAAGGAGGTGAATTTTTATGTGAAGGGGATTGATTACCTTGGGAAGTTGCATGGTCTTGTTTAGAGGAAGAACGGTGAGAGAAAAGAAAGGGAAGCCACGGAAGCGACAAATTTGATGGTTATTGTGCTTCTTCTTTTTCTATTTAAGATAAAAGTCTCTTCTCTGCAAAGTTATCTATTTAAGATAAAAGTCTCTTCTTTTCTGGATTTGTGCGTCCGTTAAATTTAAATTATACGAATGTTATCCTTTCCAATTTTGCAATCTTTATTTTACTTTTCTAAGCAGTAGTAGGTTTTTTTGTTTTCTTTCAGGACACCCAACATATCTCTCTCTCTCTCTCTCTCTCTCAGGAATGCATATTATTTATAGTCAATTTTATGCAAAAATATTTCAATTCTCTAGTCAAAACTATTGGAACTAAAGGGCTGATTATTTTCTAATGACACTGACATCAAAATTATATTATTCTCTACATATATCCCAAACCTTCTCATTATCAAGGATAAAATCATCCTTTTATAATTTATTATGTCGATAGTAATATTATAGATCATCCTTTTACGATTGACACGTGGACTCCTATGTGACAAAAAATAACAAAATTTGCTACTTCAAATCTGTCATGTCAACATCCATCTAAATAAAAAAATATTTCATGAATTATCTTTGATTCAAACAATATTTCTGTAACTACAAGAAGCCTTAGCTATAAATAGTATATTTTTCTCTTTCCTATTTTTCTAGACTCTTTGGTCACTTCAACTTAAAACTCTAACATTGACCAAGTCGAAAAATCTGACATTATTTTTCTATTATACACACCTAGCGACCTCGAGAAACTTGATAGATGGAGAGTGTCACTTTAACACCTCAATAACCCTCTCGATAATTTAGCTCCAACTTGACATCTTAGCACATTAGATTTGGTTGATCTACTACCACTTCAAGCTCGAACTAGTATGATTCATTTTTATCATTATTCTTTTATTATAGGCACCTAGGGAGCTCGAGAAACTTGATAGATCAAGAGTATCACCTTAACACCTCAATAACCCCCTCGATAATTTGGCTCCAACTTGACATCTTGGCACATCAAATTTGATTGGCCTACTTCCACTTCAAGCTCGAACTAGTACGAGTCGTCTTTATCATCATTCTTCTATTATAGGCACCTAGGGAGCTCGAGAAACTTGATAGATCGAGAGTGTCACCTTAACACCTCAAAAACCCCCTAGATAATTTGGCTCTAACTTGACATCTTGACACATCAAATTTGGTTGACCTATTTCCACTTCAAGCTCGAACTAGTATCAGTCATCTTTATCTCACTAAACAACTACTTTATAAATAATATTTTATCACTAAAAGAGGTTTCGACTAGTTATGGGGCAAATATCTTCTCACATCAATAATTAATGAATGAATTGAACCCTGTTTTGTGCCTCCAACCCTAAGAGATGGATTAGTAACTAGAGGGCATATTTTGGAAATCTTAGCTCAGTAACAAGGGTGATGGAATCAACTCACATGACCAATCCCTTTTCATCTAAAAAAATCCAAAAAGAGTTAAACCCAAGAGTTCCACCTAGTGAACCTAGAGACATTCATGACAACACCAATTCTATAAAGCATGTGGCATTGTTTTAGACACAATGAGCCTCTATGCCATGCTCTCATTTTCCAATTGAGATTGCACAAATGGATCGAGGAATATCATATGTCTCCAAATAATATGAAAAACTACTTGTTTGATCCACCATCACTCACCTCTCCTAATCTATCAAATAAAATTTTTCTTTATTTGGATGCAACCTTGTCTATGATTGGTTAGTCAGTCTTAATTTGAGAAGTAGAATATATTCAAAAGTTAATCTATTACATCAGCTATAGACTAAGTGAGGTCAAGCTATGGTATCCTAACATTAAGAAGTTGGCATATGCACTAATATTAGTAGCTCGAAAACTCCGACCATGTGCACATGGTACATATGATGTGTTAGAATCAAGAGCGGCATTGGAGGTGGGGGTGGGGGGTGAATATTCATTTTGATTCCGAAAAATATACATTTTGATTCAATCCGTTTCGGAAAGAAATTAAACTTGAAAGCTTTCATAAGAGTACAAAGAGAAGGTTAAGGAAGTTTACAATAATGTAAGTTGCACAAATAGAAAAGCAAATCAGAATTTAGAGTGGTTCGGTTATTGTGACCTACATCCACTTCTGATTCCTCCTCCGTCGAGGTCACTAGCGTCCACTAATGATCTTCCTTCAATAGGCGAAGACCAACCACCTCTTTACATCGCTTTCTCCTTTTCACGGGTTTAGGAGATAACCCTTACAAGTTTCACACCTCTCTTAATGATCTCAACACTTAGAAAGAGAGGAAGAGGACTCTAGCACTTTTACAACACTTTAACACTTCAAAGATTCAAGATTATGCCTACACTTTCGTTCCCTTTCATGCAGAAAATGGTTGGGTATTTATAGGCCCCAATGGCTTCAAAATTAGAGTAAAAAATGTCACATCCTCGGATTTCGGGGTATTGGCGATACCACCGCTATTACTGGGTGGCACTATCACCTACAGTCTGACACTAGGCGGTACCACCGCCTGATAGAGCTCGGAGACCGAGCTTTGGTAGTACCATTACCTGATAGGGGTGGTACCACTACTTGACAACATTAACTGTCAGTAGTACCATCGCCTAGACCACCTGGAAGTATGGGTCACCAAGCGATGCCACCGCCGGCCGTGATTTCAGGTGCTGAATGAGCTATTCAATCCGGCTCAATTCAACCCTATTAAGGGCCCAATTGGCCCCTAACTGAGTTAGTGGAATCAGCTCCCAATCTCAACTCAACTTAAGGTCTAACTATAATAATTAAGACATTTAACAAAGTATTCTTGTTCCAGTACGTCAATTGTTCTTCCGGCAATCTTTCGACGAACTTCCGACGATCTCTCAGTAATGTTCTGGCGGACTTCCAGCAAGGTCCTGAACTTCATGATGATCTTCTTGGCGATTTCCAACGAGCTTCTTTGGCAAGCTCTTGGACTTCTCGGTTAATCCCGGCAGAACTTCCGGCGAATGTCCAGACTTTTGACGAACTCTCGAACTCCCAATAAAGTCTCGATCTTCTTACTCAGCACTAAGAGGGGGGGGGTTGAATTAGTCTGGACTTACTCCTCAATATATTAAGGGAGACAGAGAGCACCATCAAGAAAGAGAAGCCATTTTTTTATGCTAGTGAGACTAGAAAGAAAAGAAAAGTAGAAAAATCCCTTAAGAAGGGCAAGGGCAAGGGTAGATCCTGTAAAATAAAGGTTGCTAAGAAAGACCCAGTAAAGAATAAAGACTAATGCTTCCACTATGGCAAAGATGAGTAGTGGAAGAGGAACTATAAAAAGTGTTGGGAAATCTTGGGGGCGACATCACATGCGCAGCGGAAGAAAAAGAAAACAAAATCCCCGATTCTCAAAAAGATGTTCGTCGTCGTGCGAAGATTGGTGCGCAAAATCCGCGAAACTT